AGGGTTTCCCCCTTGAATAAAAAGTCTGCTACTTTTTTTGTTTGTTTTGTATTGTTTCCTCCTGTTTTGTTATATTTTCATTTCGTTTACCATCTTAATAGATTGTCAACCCTTTGGAAGCAGGGACTATGCATACCTCTTATGTATCAGCTTACTATTCATTCATTTATTAGGGCAGATATGGACTAAGTATCCCCTCTTATGTGTTATGTTCTCTGGTAGTCACTAGGGTTGTAAAACAAAACCCAGCTGTGTCCCCTCATTGAGATCTAGTGGGGAATATAGGCATTATACATATAACACAAATGTGATAAATTTTCAAAAATGACAGTATTGGATACTGTAAAAGCTTATAACAGAATGACCTAACCTAGTGTAGGGAAATCAAGAGATGTCTCCCTAAAGAAATAATACTAGAGGAAAGTCCAAACGTAAGAGAAACAGCTGATACGTTTCTAAAAGTAATCCATTATTACTGGAAAGAAGAGATAGAATTGAAAAATTGATCACAAGAGATAAAACTTTAGAAAAGTAGTTGGGAGGGACCAGACTGTGGAGAACTTGGCAAGTCCTATTAGGAATATGGACTTTTCCCAACAGTACAATAAAATAGGAACCATCTTTGCTTTTTTGGTTTGTGTGTGTGTGTGTGTGTGTGTGTGTGTCTGTGTGTCTGTGTGTGTGTGTATTTATGCTTGATGGATGTTACTTGTAGCCACTGGTCATTTAATTTTTAAACCAATGTTTTTCCCCATACAAATTGGAATAGCTGTGGCAAGTGGGTTTTAACTCTGAGAGCTAAGCACTATTTCTTCCTCCCTCCCTCCCTTCCTTCCTTCCTTCCTTCCTTCCTTCTATCCATCCATCCATCTCTTCCTTCTGCTACTAAGACTGGAGTGAAACTCCTAGGCTGAAGTGATCCTGCCACCTCAGCCTCTCCAGTATCTGGGATTACAGGCAAGCACCACCATGCCTAGCTAACTATTTCTTCTATAAGCAAGAAAAAGTGAGGAACACAAGCTTCTTAATGACTGTGGATTTGAATTTTCAGTCATTCTAATTACTAGCTCTTTGAAAAGATTGTCAGACTGCTAGAAGCTTTGGTTTTCTCCTCTGTAAAATGAGCCATTGTTTTAAGGATTAGCTGAGGGAACATTTGTAAGGCACTTAGGAGTTGGCTGGCACATATCGATCAAATCTCAGATGTATTTATTGGCTATTTTTTAGGAACTCTGTAGTTCTTAAATTAACAAAACAAATAAAAGAGAACATTAAGATAAAAAAGCAACACAGATGCTTTTAGACATTCTCTTATGATGACATCCCCATTATACAGGTGAGCAAACCAAATCTTAGGAGTAGTAGCTTAATTAAGGTTCTTGACTGCATAAATAGTAGAACTGGGGTTTGATTACAAGGAGTGTGGATTCAGAACTCAAACTCTTTAAACACTGTTCTTTTAGCTTCTTTCCTAATGCAGTGACTCTTCCGGTTGATTCTTGTAGTCTAAACTACAGAATAGTGAAAAATGGTAACAATTGATTACCTCTTGGTATTTAGTTAATGGGACAAAAAAAATTATGTCATAAAAATTATTTTCTGATTTAAGCAGTAATGAATCTCTAACATGAAATACTTTTTTAGGAGTTCTCTACTTAGCTGGTTGATTAACTAGACGGGCTGCTAGTGTATAGTTATAGAAGTAATATTTTATCAGACTGTATTTTCCCAGTATTTGCTACCTCTAAAGGGTGACTTCTGCAAGAATGTCTACAATGGCTACATTTGAACACTGTAGTTATAGTAAGGAGGGGGTGGTTGTATATACTCCAACATATGAGATTTTTTTTTCTTGGGAGTTGGGGAGAATATAATTTGCTTTGTATGAACAAAGCAGTTTTCTTTGGGCTATCTGCTGACAACATGGAAATAATTGTGTTATATAAGTGACATATTTGTAAAAATTTTTTTTAGAATAGGAGTACACATGAATTAAGTAGCCCATGTAGCCTACTTACTTCTTCACATGATGTTCAGAATCAGAAATATCTAATATAACCAAAAAAGTATGGTTATTTGATATTAACAGAAATTATCATTGACTTTTTATTTAAGCTTCTAAATAGTACTGTGTTTAAGTTAGAGTGAATATATGGAAAATTAGCAGTATCATGTTTTACATTTTAAGGTGTTAATGAGTTTTAAAAATCATTAATACTTTTATAGAATTATTATATTTTATAATATTTAGCAGAGTATTTATTAGATTTCTGTTTTTTTCCAGAATGAAGAGAAATGAACTATACTCTGTTCACGTATTTCTCTTTTTTTCTAATATGAATGAAATTTTTAAAGAAATCTGTGCCTATTTGTGACAAATTTGGTCAGTGCTAAAGTATACAAAACAAGTCTTCCTCTCTGATTCCAATTCCAGAGGTTTTCCTCCACTGGTTGTGGATACCTTTAGACTCATCAATGTTTGGATAAATGCACGTGCATATATATGACATGCTTAACATCTGCATATTATAAACTGTAAATACATAATTTTAAAGTTAAAATTAGATCATACTTCAGTGCTGTTCTGAAACATTTCTAATTTAATGTGTATCTGTCCAAGTTAGTACATAGAGAATTATTTCATTTAGTTGATTGAATATTTTATTGTAAGGATGTATCAGTTTATTCATTTGCATATTGATATAGATTTAAATTAATTCTTTTTTTTTTTTACCATTATAAAGGATTCCACTAAGCCCTATAAGGAAGGCATTGTCTCCATTTTAGGCACAGAGAGGTTAGGTAACTTGCCCTAATTTGCACAGCAAGTAAGTAAGGAGCTGGAATTAAAATCCCGACAATATAGTCAAGAATCCACAATCTTCAATACTACATTATACTGCTTTTTTTCCTTCTACCTGTCTTAACTCTGCTTACCAAATTAGAAAAAAAGATTTAATGTATCAAATATATCTAAGCCAGGTGCCATAGCATGCGCCTGTGGTCCCAGCTACTCAGGAGACTGAAATGGTGGGATGGTGGGATTGCTTGAGCCTGAGAGTTCGAGTTCAGCCTGGCAACACAGCAAGACTCCTCTCTCTTAACAGAAAAAAAATCTAATATTAAAACTCTCCTGAACATAATTTAATATGCTACCTTAGGGATATCGGAGACCTTAGCATCACACATTACACAGCTATAATGTGTAGTTATGTAATACAGAAGTAGAAAATTTAAGCCAAAGCCTTACTAGTGCTTCTTCAGCTTTAATGTGCATAGAATACAGGAGGATGTTGTTAAAGTGCAAATTCAGGTTCAATAATCCAGGGTGGGCCTGAGTCTCCACATTTCTACTGAACTCCCAAGGTGGCCAGTACTGCTGTTCTACTTGTGAGTAGCAAGGTTTTAGACACTTCATACTGACCTTTGGGAAACCTTACTAGGTGTTTTATTGTATCAATTTTATGTCTTGTTTCTGCTATCTATTTTTATAAGTAGTGTATGGTAAAGAAATGGATGGGGTTTTTCTAGCATAATAGTTTCTATTCTATATATACACCATTTAACATTGCTGGGAAAAAGAAATTGTGCCTTATGTAGTATTAATGCATAGTACTTAAAATAACTAAAATCGGATTTATTTGTATACTTAATACAGCTCACACTTATTTCATCGTTTCTGTTGTATCATTCTTAATTGAGGGAAACATTTTTTTTTTCATTTTGAAAGATATAGCTGTCTGTAGTTGAACTAAAAATATTGTTTTATCACTCTTATTCGTTAGTAATAATATACTTTACACAGTTACAAAAATTAATTCATTGCTATGTGCCAGGCACTATATCAAGTGCTTAACTGGCATGATTTCATTTTAATCATCATCGCGTCCCTCATTTATTCACCCATCAGCTATTTGAGTACCTCCTCCGTTCCAGGAGTTGTGCGTACAATGGTGAGCGAAATAAACACAGATTCTGTTCTATAGCTTAGTGCAGTAGGGGTGCTGTACAATAATCAAGCAATCATAGAACTGTGATCATTGTAAAAGAAAAATTTTTGCTATTTTCTCCACTCAACCACAAAAGAGAATTCTGCTTTAACCTTTTTAAGCTTTTCCCAACTAGTTTCCTCCCCCACTCCACTCCAAGGAGAATCCTTTCTCTGTCTGCCGGGTCCTGAGCTGTTGTGATGGCAGATTCAACTAATGAGTAGAGAGAGACAAAACTTTAGAAGTAACAGCAGTTTATACAAGGAAGAACAGAAGTAGATGGAAATAATTTATAAAATAAAATGCAAATTTTTAAAAAACATGAATACCTGAAGGGACACAGTTTATATTAACTTGAGGGAATAAATATCCTCAGTACTTTAAATGGAAGTTTTGTAAAACCATACTTTTATTTTATTAGATGATATTCGGTAAGTTATTAGAAAGCTTCTATGTGCCCAGCTCTGTAGAATAAAATTATTTATATCAGCAGCTACCAAAATAGGATATAATTCTGCCCTTGCTCTTAAGACTGTTACAGTTGTCGATGAGAAGAGGTTGAAAAATTTAGAAAACAATGTAAGACATTTTTTTTTTATTTAAAGTACCAACATGTGTGTCCCTAACAGTAATAAAGCTGGCTTGTGGCTGATGGGACATGCTTTTAGAGGAATGCAATTTTTAAAAAGCTATGTTCTCTTTTTTCTAGGAGTAGTACTAAGTTCCCTTTTGATTATTAATTGATGGAAAATTCTTTCTGGTGTTAATCAGATCTATATATTTGACCTTTATATTTTATGCTACATTGTTGTGATTTCCAAAATGTTTTGTTTTCCCTATTACTATTAGTATTTTAGTATTTTTTAGTATTGTTTTGAAGATTATTATAAGAAACTTTAGTTTTTGAATATTAAAAATAGCTCTATGTTGTTTCTCTTTTAAAAGGAAGATCTGAAAAATTTTTATAAATTTTATCTTGGAAATTAGTTTATTCATTATGTTTAATTTTAGGAAATGGTGCTCTTGCAGAACATTCTGAAAATGTGCATATTTCAGGAGTGTCAACTGGTAAGTCATTTTTTGTAATGTTTAAATTTCATGCATGACTTATATGGTAAATATTGAAAGCCACCTGGTATCTTATGATGTGATATTTGGCTATAAAAATTATTACTGCTTTTTGCAGCATGTAATAAGGAATGAAATAACTGGAACATGGAGAAATTCTCATAAGATAAAATTGATACTTGCATGCCCAGGGATTGATTATACTCTTCCAGATGGACTGCATAATTATTTTTTCATACAAACATTGAACCAAGAGAAAAGTTAGCTCAAGTTGAATTAGTATTTTCTTTCCATACAAAGTTATATGAAATGAAACTTATTAAAATGTAATTTGAGTGCTATCCCTAGGATTAGAGCCTTAGAAATTAAACGTTTTGCTTCATTTTTAGATTAGAGTACTACTCTATGTAAAACTGTTGTACTTGAGTGCACAGTTTATTTGCAATTAAAAGCAACCCAACGACATGCTTGTGTAGTGTATAAATAGTGTATTTATCAATCCATCGATTGACTTCTTTGTGTCATCTTATAATTTGTGTGGTTATTTTTCCTTACATGAAGGAAAACTGAAGATTTGCTCTTTTGTGTATGACTTTGTATTCAGAAAGTTAATAGACTTAACAATTACTCTAAGGCCGCGGTCCCCAACAGCCAGGCAGTGGACCAGTACCAGTCCATGCCTGCTAGGAACTGGGCTGCAGTTGCTCCCCATTGTTCACATCACTGCCCGAGCTCTGCCTCCCCCCCATAACCCCCATCCATGGAAAAATTGTCTTCCACGAGATCAGTCCCTGGTGCCAAAAAGGTTGGGGACCACTATTCTAAGGGTTAGTATGCACTAGCCAAACACATTGACTAACCTGGTTTCCTAAAAATGAAAAGCAGGTGCCTCCGTAGCCTGCATTAATTCTTTACCAATTTGTTTCACTTTTTAAAATATGCTTTGAAATGGCATATAATTATATACATCAAGTAAAATTAAGATTATTTGAAAGATGACCGCCTTTTTTGTTTATATTTTCAGTAACTAATGAGAATTATGATTACTTTTCCAAGTTGTAACTATGTAGTAAGATTGTTTACAGACATATTTTAATTTTCACAACCAATTGGTTACTGTCTAATTCAGTGATTTTCAAAATTTTTTGTCTCAGGACCCTTTTAAGCTTTTAAAAACTATTAAGGACTGTATTGGTCTGCTTGGGCTGCTATAACAAAATACTATTGGATAGCTTAAATAACAGATACTAATTTTCTCACAGTACTGGAGGCCAGAAGTCCAAGATCAAGGTGTTAGCAGGGTTAGTTCCTGGTGAGACCTCTCTTCCTGGCTTGTAGATAGCTACAGTCTTAGTGTGTCTTCACATGGCCTGTCTTCTGCAGTGCTCAGAAAAAGAGGTCTCTTGTGTCTCTTCCTCATATAAGAACATCAATCCTGTTGAATTAGTGCCCCACCCTTGTGACCTCATTTAACCTGTTACCTCCTTAAAGGCTCTATCTCCAGGGAGTTAGGGTTTCAACATTGGGTTTTAAGAGGGGGACACAATTCAGTCCATATAAGGACTTCAAAGAGTTTTTGTTTATGTGGGCTAGAGCTACCAGTATTTACTGTATTAGAAATTGAAACTGAGAAACTGTTTTAAAACTTATTAATTGAATTTAAAATAAGAATAATGAACACATTGCATGTTTACATCAATATGTAATAGTTTCATGAAAAATATTTTTCAAAACATTAATAAGAATAGCATTGTTTGATAATTTTGTAAAGTCTTTAATTTTTTGGCTCAAAAGAAGATAGCTGGATTCTCACATCTATTTCTGCATTCAGTCTTTTGCAACATGATGTTTTATTTAACATATGTGAAGACAGTCCAGCTTCACACTGATGTGTAATGGGAAAAGAGAGGAATATTTTAACAATCTTTTTTAGATAATTGTGAATATTCTTCTTTGATACTATACCAAAACTCAACAAGTGGCAGTTTATTTAAGGTTAGTGGCATTGTAGAATCTGAAAACATTTCAGTGAACTTTTTGTACTCTGTTACATTAAAATCTAATTGGTCTTTCTTGCCCTTTGAACAGATTTTCTTACCATGTATGATTTTATAATATACATTGGTCATTTGCAAAATATTGATTTGCTGAATTATGCAGATTAATATAGAATATGAGAAATTATGGAAATTTGGACAGATCCAGTATTTACTTAAATTCTGAATTTTGTGTCAACTCATCAAGATTAGATGCTACTTATTTTTATGTTTTCTTGAAATTAAAACTACTAGACTCTTGTTGAGCATTGATATTGCCCTTAAATAAATTCCTTGAAAAAAAAATCAGTTTAAAAATTGTTCACTTTAAAATAATGTAAAAGATGTTTTACATTGTAAAATCTTTTTTTCCCTACTTCTGAATTTCAGATGTATATTTGGAAGTGTATTTTAGTTTGCAAGGGCTACCATAACAGAGTGCAACATACTGGATAACTTAAACAACAAATTTATTTTCTTATGATTTTGTAGGCTAGAATTCTGAGATCAAGATATCAGCGGGGTTGGTTTCTTCGAAGTTTCTCTCTCTTTGGCTTGTAGATGACTGTCTTCTAATTGTGTCTTCACATAGTCTTCCCTTTGTGTATACGGTTGTCCTAATCTCCTCTTCTTATAAGGACATCAGCCATATTATATTAGGGCCCACCCATCTGACCCCGTGTTAACTTAATTACCTCTTTAAAGACCCTTTCTCTCCAAATACAGTTACATTCTGAAGTATTGGGGTTAGGACTTAACATATGAATTGTGGTGGTGACACAATTTAGCCCATTACAAAATGTGTGTTTTAATTAAATACATCTGTACATCAATAAAATACTCCATTTCAGAGGTCAGTGAAACCTTACTTATGGCTTATTATTTTTCCTGAAGTCTGATCTTATAAAATCTTTCTTCTGTAGAATGAGAAGAATTATATATGAAATCTATTCTAATTATACTATTAAAAAAATAAAAGGATGCTGTCTCAAGGTGCTTTTGGGTACACAGATTCATTGCATTTTTTTTATGGCCAGTGTGGAGCTGTAAATGTAATGTTTAATGTAATATAAGCTTTCTGAAATCCTTGTATCCCCAGTAGAAACTAGGGCCCCTTCAGTGCTGGTCTAAATAGAGAACTAGCCTTTGGAAGAATCTCTAAACGTACAACTTGCTCTCTCTTGAGACCAGCAAGCAACAAAAGTGGTGAGGCACTGCAGTGTGCTGTGGTGGTACCGATCTCTTCTACTCTTCACTGCTCCTTTCACCTCTGATACTCCATTTCGAGTGCTCAGTGCCCTACTTCAGTCATTGTTTGCACTTTGGAAAGTATACTGACAATTTTAGAAAGAATTTTAACTTGTCTACAGTTAGTGTTATCAAGTAATTTATTATCCAAATCAGGACACTTTGAAAGTAAAAGAGTACACTATTTTTAATTATGCTGGCAGCACTAACAAAACCAGGGCTGTCCTAGACAAAATCAGGATATGTGGTCACCCTGTCTTTAAGTGAATTCAATTCATTTAGTATGTATTAAGTACCTGATACGGACCTTGTGCCAAGAAGGGTAGAAGTAAGCAATGAGTAAAATATTCGTATCTCAAGGAACTGACCATTTAATGTCAGAAGTAAATGTGCAAAATGCACCTATAATGTGCTATTAATGTACTTACTATAGCAAGTAATGAGCATATTAAGTTAGCATACGAATTTATAAAAGGCCTAGTTAGAATATCTTGCAAGCAGTAAATGACTTAAATTAACTTTTCTTATGTTATTAATTAGGAATAGTGCTAAGTGCTTAGTTTTGTTTACTCGTGAATTTGGGGGGAACTGTTGATTTCTGATTGACAATATATTTTTGGTTCTTGTGCTTGGAATAATTTGTTTATATTTTTAATATTCTATTCATTTCCATCTTCCTTTTCAAATTCTTGCCTAGAGACGTAAGTATTTGCCTTTTTGCTGGTTCTTATGCTACAGATTGACATAAGAAATTTTAGTTAAATTATCAAAAAATAAGTATATATTCATTCCAAGGAACTGAAGAAAGAAAAAAATAAGTATGTATTTAGTGATTATGTAATGGGAAAGAATTATTGGATAAGATCTTCTTTTTTATGCTTTTTTCTTTAATTGAGAACTTTTCATGGTCTAGAATTTTAAATCTCCCTTCACATATAAATTAGAAAAAGGAAAAAAGGCAGATGGCATTTTTGTAAATCTAATAGTATATAAAAATCATTATGAAATTATAGAATAGAAGCTGCCAAGTAATTTAATTGTATATATGAGAGAGTAGGAAGGCTATTTTAATGCTGTTTTTTTAAAAAGTCTAAATTATATGTCTCGTGGGTTTTTCAATGTCTGAATTTTTTAAATAGCTAAATTACTGCTGATCTGCTACATGGAATGAAACATATTTTAGGTCAAGTTGGTTTGTGATAAGACTTTTGCCAATATTAAACAAATATATTTGATTTTTTAAAAATGTAGATACTTTGAATTTAACTCTATAATCTATGATATTGATCTGAACCAGGATAATTCTAGAAATAGTTTATGTTCTCCCTACTCTTCATAACTTCCAAGTTAAGTTTTTGTTTTCACAAATTCTATTTATTTATTATACAAGTTACATAAACATTTAGAAAAATTGGAAAAAAGCAAAAAGATTGAGAAAATCCCCACTCATTAATCTTAGTATAGTATAATTAATATATTAATTTATTTCATTTGTGCTTTTTCTGTGCATACCTTAAACATGATTGCATATGTATTTGAGTTATAACTAATTTTATCTCCTTTCTAGTTAACATTTTATGCAATACCTTCTATTTTTTTCATTAGTCTTTATATCCATTATTTTAATGCCTTCATAAAATTCCCATCAAGATGCTACACTATAATGTTCTTAAACAAACCAATGGGTCATTTCCAATGGATTTTCTCTAGTCTGGA